AAGCCTAGCTACCTTGCCACCAGAAGGAAGCATGCGGGCTAGGATACTCCCAGGTTGCCCAAGCCTAGACAGGGGAAGTAGAGATGCAGAGGTCGGGATAGAAGCACGGACTTTCCGGTCAGTAAATTCACGCTCTAACCACCGAGCCATCTCATCCCACGGAATGACTGTGTCCAAAAATAAAACCGCGGTTCAGGTCACTTCCTCCTCCTCATCATCATCATCGACAGCGTGATATCAGTGTTCAACACCGATGCTTCACAGCCGCGCGGCATAAGTTGCAACTGCATCAAAAGCGTCGCTCTCTTAAATGCTTGAAAATGTTGGGGAGACTACCTCCAAATGAACTAACTCATTTTGCCAACAACTTATCTTACAGAATGAAACCCTGTTTCTCAACCGTTTCTCCATTCCGTTGACATCCTATTGAACTGCTCGCTCTTTTACACTGGTTCATTTGAGTCTATATCACGGGACGATTCAGTTGTTCCCTTTACAACTTCCATAAGGTAGTTTGTTTTCTCCATTCCGGTGTAACTGACAAGTCTGAGTGATACATCATTAGAGAGCATAGCAGAATACCGCACCGTTGAAAGATGCGGATCAAGGTACTATCATGCACGACTAGCACCAGGCTCATTTTCGTTAATCAAAACCTGATGAACGGTCACCAGGTTTCCACGGATTCCCTGTGGTATTTCATCCAACAAATAACCGACTGAACTTGGTATGAATCCATGCAGCCAGATAGACGGGATATCTAACCATGCATTGCATCTTTCTTCACAAGTCAACAATGCACGATCATCCCAATAGGCATGTTACCAGCTTCGGTTGGAACGGCCACAAAAGTTTTTAAACCTAAAAAGGCAAGAAAATGTAAGGATCCGCATATGGAGGCGACTCTTTGGAACCGATAGGAATAAGTCGGGTACATGAAAGCCCTCAAAGTTTGTCATGCAAAGTTCATCACGACACATTATTCATTCTGGTGGAAAAATGCGAGTGAGAGAACAAGGCATCCAAGTGTTGAAGCGACCACCAAACAGATCTCGGAAAGTCATGCCTCCAACCCCAACGACGCCATACGACGTCAAATGTAGTGTCCCGACAGAAAAGATCACGAAAATAATCGACCAGGAGGACATAAAAGCCGCTAGAAATGAGCATCCAGTCTGCGTACACACACTTCTAAGCCATTATGCAAACCATTTGGCCACATCTAGAAGATTGGAGCTTCCCTGTCAGCTTCGGGCACTTTAGCTGGGTTGCAGTAAGTATAGAGAAATCCGTTTAATCGACACAGTGTTTCCGCTCAAACTGCAGCTGAGACATCCCAGCATGTCGTCGAGTCAGGAGGACTCCCGACCCAGCAAACAACATACCAACAACATCTTCAGTCCGGGTTGCACGCCGGAACACCACTTTGGGTCCGACCGACCATCACGTACTTCACTATAAAGCAGACAGTTACTCAGCCGTTAACCAAGTACTAAGATACAGTAGTTCCGCATGTTGGTTTCATTCACTGATGGCAGCAGAATAGTGAAACGACAGCTGCACCTAGAAGACAATGACCCAACCAGTCCACCGACGTTAGATTGTGCTGCATGTGACAAACCATAGAGTGAAGGAGCTATACATTCAAGTCAACAAATCTGGTACGGTACCACCACGGGCTGCGTGATAAGGTCATATCTGTCAGACTCGCTAACGGGTTACTGTCTCGTTCCGGGGCGGTCGTTATCAACGCAACTGCGTTGACTGGTGGGAACCTTCATGGTCGTGGACTGACCGTGTCAGAATAGTCTTTACTCGACACACGCCTCAGCGAATGGGGGCAATGTGCTGCAAACGGTTAGGAAGTGCATGGCTCAACACGATTACCACATTGGCCGGGTCATATTACTCCGAGAATCAAGCCTTGGAGACAGTGTACGGAGAGGATCTTTCCGACTTTCACTTACGTATCGGAATAAAAGGCATCCCTATTCCCAACCCTCTTTATGTAAACCACCAAATGGATTGTGACACACGACCCAGGGGGGCGGCTGAGGAGTCCAGCCTAAGGTTACATGGTCGATATCTATATAGTAAATATACGGATGAGTCTTTGTCTGGGTGACATTTCGGAGAGCCTAATAGTTTTTAATTACACCATCACCAAAAGTTCATTCATTTGCAGTTAGAGCCCTAAGACGAAAGAGTGAATGGGGAAGCGACCTAATGAAGTCCAGCCACAATAATCACGAAGCGACTACACCTTGAAATGCCCAATCAAACCTGGGAAGAAACATAAAACACCAATGCAACCGACTAATCGCAACGTCACGCAAACCTCCAGTCAAGCGCAGGAATGGTCACAGAAACCATACCGTGGAAAGTGGACAGCATCGATTACAGTGAAACTCTTCGTTTTCTTCCATACCCTCCTGTCAGGTCACACGTTAGCCGTCTCGCAGGGTGCGCCATCTCAAAGGAGGCACGGAGAACCATACTCGTCTTGGTACATGGGCCATGAAGAGCACATGGTCGAGACACAGCAGTTGATGGCACTGAATACTTGACTGCTACGGCAGTGAAGCATCAGTGTTGAACACTGACGTCATGCTGTCGATGATGATGATGAATACTTGACGCGACTGAAATATCTACTGCCTAACAAAACGATGGTTTTCAAGGGACATTGTTATGAATTTGCGATGCCATCGACAACGCTTCTGAGGCATCGGTGGCCGAAATCCCGCATCGCCACAGTCACACAGGAACCCCAAAGCACCCTGATGCAAGCAGCCATTGAGAACCAACAAATTTTTGACGCCACAAACGACGCGAATTGATAAACGTGATTCAGGCCTTCGATAGCTCGTGCAATGAATGCACTAGATATACTTCCACCAAATTCAATGCAGCTACAGAGGTATATAAAATTCTCTACAGTATTGAGTGTTTTCTCTTGAATGTTAGGAGGCATGTTCATAAACTGCACCCCTTGAAGCATGCCTTTGTAGGTGCAAGACGCATGCCAAAAGATGGTGCGATGATTGTCAGATTGTTCAAATGTTCGGCCATCTCCAAAGATGAAGACGATGTTGTGTGCATCGACAAGATTCTCATCAGCGAAAATTGGCATACCGGGATTCTGAAGGATCTTCAAGGTTTGTCTCAAAGAAGTTGAACAGAAATAGAGACTGAACGCAACACTCTTTAGATGACGTATTGGAGAACACCCAATCACCATCATCATCGTCATCATCACCATCATCAATCACCATCGTCATCAACAAAGATAGTAACACCAGTGTAGACCTGATCTTCCACTGCCGCAAGAACCCCCAATACGGTCACGCTCCCAAAAGTGCGTGAATATATGGACCGGTTAGGTTCATGAACTTCTGGAGCCTGTCTGTCGAGTAAGCACAGTCAGAAGTATTGGTTGATAGAAAGTATTCAATCCTTGAAAGAAAACCGAGATTATTGACCTTCTGTACACATACCGGTTATCAAGTCAGTCGGTTCACGATCCACGCACCGAAGTGCAGTGATTTCAAATGCTGCAGCTTCGTTCACCGAGGATAAGAAACAAAAGGGGATGAAAGCCATGCGTTTGGGGCGATGGTCTAATCAGAGTGCTGAGGACAAATTAATCTGATAGACTAGCATAGTAGGGAGTAAGGGATATGGATTCAGGCGATAGCCTTGATGCAAGGTCGCTATCGGCTGCATGAAACGGGCATATATTGCATGGTCAGTAACCGTTGGTATATTTTTTCCTGCGGTCCCCATCCGAGGAGACAGCAGTTATTAACTCGACTGAGTTGAATAATAAGAGCTTTCGTGCTTCATTGCCAAATATTTGATTGATCTCTCCCTGGGTCGTCTGTATCCGAAAAAAGGATGCACAAAGAGAGCTCTAGTAGGCAAACGGTCCTGTGAACTACGAAATACATGGCCCAATCAGCGTAACCTGTGGAGTGTGACCAGTTGACCTATTGAGGAAGGGTTAACTTTACAGAAAACCATCTGTTTATCTCAGCATTGTTGATGTGCCGTTTAAATCAGACTGATACAATGTTTTGGAGGCACCGATGGTCAGACTCACAGTCTCCGAAGATCTTTCACACGCAGTAGCCACGTCTCTTAAGCATAAAGTAGGGCAGATCGGCCTGTAGCATTGTACACTACACTCTTGACGGTCAATCTGTCCTATTGGCGCCCCATATGCCAGAGTTTGGTGAACGATAGTCTAGCCTTCATAATTCGGGAGAAGACTGTACTTCGCCAGTCCTCTCGGACTTATGCAGCCACCCAGAACTTATCACCTGAAAGTATGAAGTTCGGGCTCGATCCCACCCAGCCCTACAGTAACGCTTTACACTTCAAAGGTGCGAAATCTATGCCGAACTTTGTACAAGGTCATTTAAAAAATCGTCCAGCCGTAGCACCCCCCTGGTGCCTAGCTGCCATGCCGTCAAAAGGAATTATGAGGGATAGGATACTGCCAGGTTGCCCAAGATGCATAGGTCGGGGTAGAATTACGGACCTTCTGGTCAGTAAATTCGCGCCTTAACCACTGAGACATTTTGCAGGTTCATTTGGATTAGTTAAGGTAGTTTGCACTTTTAGACGGTCTGACCCAAGGAGAACAATATCAGTAGCGCACTTAATGTCCGTGAGCGAACGCCACGGAAGTATGTCTATCTCAAAAACACAAAAGGCGGGTAACGAGGGCTCAAGAAGCACAGCTACGAAGTTGAAGATAATGGGCGTTATAAAATACTCCTGCCTGACTTCACTAGAAGAAGTGAACTTAGGAAAATCCACCGGCGACACGTACACGCCCAAGGGAACTTTTCCATGAGAGGAATTTAGAAGGGACGGTGTTCATTGCAAGATACTGCCACAGCTCAGCGAACAAGCCAACGATCAGACACTGCCACAGTTCCTGACTATCAACGAGTCAAAAGCAGATCTGAAATCGAGAAGGACAATCACTGTTGGCCGTAGGGAGGAGTAGGACAGTTCCAGTACCAGCCGCAAAGTGAAGATATGACCGATTCAACCCTGGCTCGGACGAAATACAACTTGATTCTCGCGAGTCTGACTTTCGTGATGAGCGACCAACATCCGCAGGATAATATCAGAGGATACCTTGGAAGTTATGGCCACAAGTCTGGCGTCCCGGTGATTTTCGTACGCTGTTCTTGCACCTCTTCTGAATGTGGTAGTCACCGACAAGGTACTCCATTCGGTTGGAATTTTTCCTCACCTCAGATAATTCAGCGTAGGGTCGTCAAGTCAGTTACGATGGCTTTGTCACCTTCAGTGAAGGGTGCAAACCGTCTGGACCAGGTGCGATATCTGCCGGAGCATGTCACGTGCCGATTTAAGACGATAGAGTATTGAGGCCAAATTTTTGTTACACGGGAAATCAGACTGAAACCTCTGTGGTTACTACACACTGCGGTGCCCTTCTTGAACATGGGCAATATGAACGACTCACCCCATTTGTCTGAAACGGTCTTTTCCTCTGACGGAGGAATTTACCACCATGCTTGAACACGTTAAGTGGAAGGACGTCGGGAATAGAAGGACCACACTCGGCTACATGCACTCGGACCTATCCGAGGCTGAAATGGGCCCAACTTTCACAGGCCATGTTCCTGTCAAACATCGATGATCCGAATTCAAAACGTCAGATGACCGTCTGAACTGTTGTTTGAGGTATCCTTCCCAATGACCGAAACTTTCTCTGCTGGATACCAGATAGTCATTATGGCCCTTGGTACTTTGACAGAAAAGGTGCTTCCGAGCGCTTGTCTAAAAAATCAAATGGAACAACCCGCGGATATTTCTAATAATTTTAAATCTTTCCATCTCCTTGATCTTCTGGATTCGTCAGTCTTCCCGGTCTATTGTGACACAACTTTATCTGGTGTCAAGTAATGCGTCGAATTGGATTGTGGTTGTAACTGGCGAAAATTTGTCCCCAGGCATAAAAAAACGGGTCTTACCAGAGGTTTAATACCTGGAAGGGGTTGATCTGGTTATGTAACACACAAATTATGCTAGCAAATACAGCTTTGGATATACCTGTCTAGTAGCCCATAAGATCCGATATCACGCCACCGGGAAGGCGTTTCTTCCTATGGTTGTTTGATTGCCGAGTCCGTAAGCCAATGGGTACCTTTGATAAACACCTTTTCGGTGCCTAACTGGTTGCCACCCGAAGGTTGCACAAAGAGTGGGATACTGCCAGGTTGCCCAATCCTAGGCACGGGAAGTCGAGATGCAGAGGTCGGGCTCGAAACTAGGACCTTCCAGTCAGTAAATTCGCGCTCTAACCACTGACCATCTAGCCATACTGAGCCGTTGAGCAAAACCTGGAAATCAGCAGTGGACAAGTGTATGACAGTAGATTCCAATCAGGTATCTCGATAGTGGCGGGCGGCGGTAGATTTTCGCTGCTAGCAACTTCGCCGCATGATGTCCGAATCGACTGTGTCCCAACATTAAGTGTCTAGGAACTGAATGAGCACCAGCAACACTACACGGTCAGGTATCTCAGCCAGTGACGCCTGGTCCTAAAACACTAGACTACGAGGGGCGTGGAGAGATTCAACATTATCCCGACTATTTTTACGCTCCAAATATCTTCAACACTGCATGAGTCTATATCATTTCGTACTAACACTTTAAATGCCCACAAGCGATTTAGCAATCATGGGTTTGGGAGACTACTGATTGAGAGTACCATCACATTTAACGCTTGCAGTTTAGATGAAAGCTCACCTTCAAAAGGCAGAGTGGGGAGAGTTCCGACAGTGCATAGACTCCAATATTATTGACGTCGGCACCACCCGTCGCTAATAGACTTTTTGATGGGTTAGCTTGGATGGCATGAATACCACAAGAACTTCGGCCAAAAAACTCCCTTGGAGCTGTTAAGACAACCTTGAAAATTGTGATTACCTTGTTCCTGAACTGATCAAAGGGATTTCAAGGCTCGAATCTGATGAGGTATCATATAAGACAAGTCGATTGCATTTCGTCCCATAAACGACGTGATTACACGTAATCCACTGCGACGCGAATATCTTGTTACGTGCACCAGGGTCCACAGACCTCTTCTTCCATGCCGACGGCAAGCGAAATGGGACCTCTGGAATATCCGCTACGGACAATTTAGTTCGCGAACCGAGTTCCCGCGACTGAAGACGCTTCAAGATTGGCACGGTTTTCTGTGTAATAAATCATATAGAAAATCTTCTCTTAAGCTCACTCTCTCATCTCTTCTTGGCCGTTTCACAGGCGGTCCACCCATAGCTCAGCGGGTTACGGGGCAGAGGGGTAGCCGCAGCCCGCAGAATGAGGCTAATCTGAAGGTCAGTTCAGTGGCGTGAACAGCAGCACATGGGCCGAAAACACTTTTCACCTAAATGGCTAGTATTTCTTGGATTTACGACGGCCGAGTAAATATTTGATACTTATTTCTGGTGACCGTCCAGCCGATGGCCACCGCGAATTTTCCTATTGACCACAAAGGAATTGGTGGATTCATTTGACTCGGTTAGCTCATACATTAGTGAAAGGCCGCAGGCTGGTGGGCAGCGGCTTATATCTACGGTTTTGCTAAGCGTCCAGCTTTTCCCGGGTGGGGGAGGAGAATCCAAAGGATGATTAATATGCTACCAATTCATTGGAAGTTTGGATGACATGGGGTCACCCTTGTCAGGAGCGGTATAGAAAATGCGTCTTGGTGGTTTGACTGTGTAATGGAGGTGAGGAGACAAAGCTGCGGGGCTTCGGCATTTCATCGAGTATGTCGCTGTTTCAAGGATTTCAAAGCTTGCATTTGCAAATGATGTTGAGAACTCTGGTAATCACCGCAAATCACCCAGAAGTCCTTACAGCGACGGCTCAGGTTTAACGACGTGCACTACTGGTGGAAACCCTGGGTATCTTGAATCTTAAACCCCACAGCCGCCCAGAATTGAAGTTAAAGTATTTGCTTTGTGCCAATCTGTCCTTCGGCTAATGTCTAATTTCCAAACAATGTTAGGAAGCGTCGGAAAATTGCCTAAGAATACCGAATTTCAGGAACTTCCTGCAACTGAGCCCTTCTTTTTGTCCAAATGCCGGAAATAACCCTGCTCTTGTTCCGCTGTATGTACCTCCAGCTTCTAAAACGTCTTCCTGTTCACCCGATTGTCATTTAACTGACTGAGCTATAAGCTACGGGCGATGGAAAACCAGAAAGAAAGACCTGGTCTTCCATCTGTTGAGAAAAGAATTTCGTTGAGCACGCAGAAGCGATGGCTTGAGAACTCTGTGATGCCCATGAGTTACATCGAAGTGCGGAGCTGTAGCTCCCTTGTCATAATTCGGTTTGTACCGCACCATAGTCCACTTAGTTAACCAAACTAATCACGCGCACTTACCAACTGCTTCCAAGAGTGAACATATACAATGAGAAATATATGTATACAGAGGTTCCCAACATTCCGCTACCAGTATTCAGATGCGAAAAGGCATTTAATTCGCCGTGCATCACTGATCAGCTTGAAGTTGATAGGGGTGCTTCGGGGACGGGTGACTATTTCTCTTACAGTCACTTTCCCGCTACTGTCCGAATCGCAATAAATGCCAGATTAGCCAGTCCATTATCTCGGAAGTTCACCCCCATCAGTTCTTATACGTTTGGTTTCCCTTACCACACCACCACTCTGCGTGCTTATAACGTTCTCACTAGATCTCTTGTATTTTAAAATCGTATGTTAGCAAACCAGACCCATGTTTGGTCGCCAGTCTACTGAGCACAAATCCATCCCTATCCTATCTCTTATAATCACTTCTTTTCATCGCCCCAAACGTGGTGAACATCAGTTTTTTTCTGTGCATATTCATGCACATTATCTCTTCTGATGTCCTCTCAAACTCATAATGCTTTACTGATCTCACCCACTTCCTAATATTCCCCATTTTTGAACTACGCCCGTGTCGGTCATGGACGACCTGGTCCGCTCTCATCCTTTCCAAGGCCACGAAACCTCGGCGGTTGTTTAGGGTTCAAGTTCAGTTTGACCGGCTGGCTGAAGCCAACTCTGCTGCTTCACCAGATCTGATGTTCTGGTTTCCAGTTTTCCACCATTCACACCCTTCTTGTCATGTGTCAGGCCGGGAGACTCTCGTTTTGCCCTTCCTAGGTTAATTTTTGCCTGCCACCTTCAAACTTAATTATCTGATCTTGCTCGATATTCTCTCCAACGAACGCATAGTAAAAGTGCCCTCATGATGGTTCAGTGGTGATAACGACAACATCGGATAATGCTCACTGCGTTTGACGCTCTCTTTTTCCAACCCCCTGTACTCATAATCCCCGCCAGTCATGCTTTTACTCTGTCTTTAACCTTATGAATCATGCCTGACGGCATGCTTCCCACAGGCTGGGAAAAAACATTATAATACTTATTGTGGGGTAATAAGTTATAGGTGCCACGGACGACGTGAGGGGTTTTGGGAGGATTTGTTCCGATGTGGACGAAGTTGTTCGTAGTTGACCATCCTGATGACTTTCTCTTAAGGCCAGAAAAAGGCGGCCTTGAAAGAGGCCTGATAAAGTTCCAAGATAATGGGCGAAAGAGGCTATCACCTTTGAGTTCGGCGGGTCTTCTGGTTGCAGGGAGACTGTGGGACAGTTCAAGGCAGATAGTGGGAGCAGAATGATTTCATGGCGACCGTAGGTAGGGATATAAATCCTGCTCCGTTGGATAGAGGCAAAGCATTCCGCTTACAACGGTGCACTATAGCCGCCAGATAAGCAACCATAGCAAGTGCTCAATTGAGAGTAGAGTATTATGTGTTATATTGTATGAGATGGCGATGCTAGCCGTCCAATTAGAGCTGAAGGAGAATTGGAAATGGTCACCGGGAAATGATCTGTTGAAGCCGGTGAGCCAGTTGACTAACTATCTTGTTCCTTAGAGACAAAGCCGATGAAACGCTTTCAAAATTTAGAATGCCTCGAACTTGACTGTGCTGATTAGTGAGGTGATCAATTTCTCCAAATCCTGTCATCTGTCAGCAACTACATATTTGTGTCATATTGTTTTCCTATGGAAATTGTAGTGCTGCAGGCTACAACACAGACGAAAAACGGGATAAATGGGATAAGCGAGTTGTGCTTAATCAATATTGGACAGGGAAGCACACTCACGGTAGCACAAAGCAATACTAGTCCCCTCGAGAAGCAGTTCATATTGGGGGGCGTATTCTGTAAGAAAAGCTATATAAGTTGCAGACCATAAGCAAGGCAGACTTATAGCAGACTACAATGCTGCCGAACTACCAGCTTCCCCCGCGTTGTCAAGAGATTGTACTTGTCTGAAAATAGTGCCAGCAAACTTTTCTTTACGAAGCGATATATAGCGACAGACCAGAACGACACGGCACCAGTAGCTTTGTCCTGTAACGGGATCACAAAGACTTGCTAAAATTACAGCATAATACCTTGAACCGCGGAAGGTTGCATACACCTATATTGTGGATGCCGGCGGAAGGAGGAACCTAGGCTTTTATGAGGACCGCACAAAATTTCAAGTATGAACAGGAGCGTGTAACGCTAGAGGTCGGAGGACTCTAGCACCGCAGCACTCGTCATGCCTAGGGCCACTAGGGGAAATATTATTATCAAACATCAGTGGATAAAACGTGATATGTCCCCCAAGATGCACTACTTGCTTCCGCCAAAGATCGTTGGAACGAGGGCTAAAGTAACGTCACAAACCGCACATATACCAACGCTGTATGGAATCCAAGAAGATTTGTAACGACAATTGGCAATCAGAGGATCGATGAACATCTTTCGCCGTGGACACATGGAACAATCGTATCAAAGCTTTCGATGACTATGACCATCAAAGTGCTGACACTTCAGGGCATGGTAGACCATAGTATCCTAAACAGATAGCAAAAAGGTTTTCTGGGTGTAGAATCGGAGTTCGCTGTTGGCAGCTAGTCATCAAACGTTTCGGTAAGAAACCCAATCAACGGCAGTTTTATTGGTTTCATGGCTCATGACACCGACTTAACGAGTGGTTGGTAATGGATAAGGAAGATCCTGGAGAGAACTTGCCGATGGTGATGGAAATCTTCTGTGCTTTTGTGCAATGAGTTTGCAGGTACCCATTCATATGCGGTCAGCGTTTGCACTCTGTACATATAATATTGAGGGCCAAATGCGACCTTTATCAAGAGGGACTAGAACAGGGAAGGAGAAGCGCACGATGAGGCACGTCAACGGTGCAGGAGAGGATCATGTAAACGGAGTCAACTGGGAGACTTATAGTTCTGTAACGGACATGAGGGACTTTCTATGTGTGCTAAATGCAAAGGTGAAATCACACGACTACACGTGTTCGGAAATCAAGGCAGGTGGACAACGGAAGCCAAGGAAGCGATATACCGGCCCTTTGGGTGCGTGTTATATCATTGGCTACGTGCAGGCAATTGACGAAGTTGGATTAGCCACACTGGTTCCTTAAAAAGGGTCATACAAAGCATTGTTGTACCTAACGATGAGGTGCTTTTAGGTGTAGCGCGCGAATTTGCTTCAGCCGAACCCGATTTGTTTGTTTATTTTACCATGGAGTTCCCGACTAACTGCGCGGTTTTTCTGTTTGCGCCGTACAGCTTTTCGGCCCGCCCATTGTAATAGATTGTCGTTGCGGTTGCTTGGTAATATATTCCGTTTCACGGACTCGCTTCATTGCTCCAAAGCAGTACAACAGAATTATGCTGATGGATTTGCTGAAGTTGGCAGGGTTGGATCGTCAAGCGCCAGGTTACCTGAATGTGCGATGGTTTTTAGTCTAAAGCAATAGCCTACTGAGGGTTGTTCTCAACTGTATTATGTGATCCAAAATGCCTCGAATTTTGGTAGCTCAGAACTCACATATTTGGGTCTTAGGAACTCAACAAGTGGGGGTTTATTTTAATGACCCACCTGCTCTAGTGGATTCATTCCACTAAAAATTCCGGTTTATTTTATTTCATCCGGCTATAGCGAGCGCCATACATGAAAAACCTTCAGTGAGCTGCTTGACAATTTCACTCTTTTTGTGGATATAATGGGGCCATTTGCCCATAAAGGTGCATGTGTTGTGTGCTTCACTCACATAATGAACAAGAACTTTAATCGCTTCTCACTTGT